ATTTAATCATTTATAATTATAAATATAGATTATAATGTGACTAATTTTTGACTTTTCATGAAAATTGTTAAAAATTCAAAAACAAGCATGTCATCAATAAACGTAAAACTCGATGAGTTAGAAAACAAGTAATTTTAAGCAAAAAAAACAAAACCGACTTCAATTCTCACAAAAAAATTTGAGAATACCGTTAAGTTCTTCATAATCCAATGATCAAAACCAAATTAATATGGAACCACCTCCGAGGTAGCACCACGAAAAACAAGTAGATAATATTTAGCAAAAAAAAAACCCCCACCTTCAATTCAAAATTTCACAGGCCTGTGTAATCATTATTTGCGGAGAAGAGACATTTTGATGTATTTCGTGACAGATTCCTTAAAGCGAGAATGACTATGTTCCTTCATACTTATATTTTTTCTAAGCTATTCTTTGTCAAACACTTTACCTGGCCTTTCAAAAGTGATGAAAAAATTTCCAGCACTTACCCAAGGAAGCTCTTTAGATTGTTTAATTTAATATAAGTTTGATGCCAACATTCTACATATTCTTCTCGTAATTTCACTTTTATCCTGAAAATGTAAAATTTAATAAGAAATCGGAAGTAATCGCTTTTGTGATGTTGTGCGCTTCACTAAAGGTGCTTTCTCTTTTTAAGTGAATTTATATTTTATATTTTTTTTTTTTTCAAGTTTAATAACACTTTTGTAGTTAAACTAACTAAAAAGCTACTGCGCTTAACATGAATTGGTGCTGATCTTTCAGACATAAGNCTTCTTAGTTCAACTCCAATTAATCCTGCAGCGCACACATTTTGTATGAATTGCTCTCCTCAGCTGCAAGCAAACTTTACAAAAGCATATTTTAAAGAGGATTCATATGTACATATGTATGTATATGAGAATATGAATAGTTTTATATATTTAAATGCACTTAAAATTCACTCTTAACTTCATTACACTTGACTAAATGATTTTCATATACGATATGTGCATATATATGTATATATTATATATTTATGTACAAATATAATGTATTCTAAGCAGCTTTGGGCAGAAGTGCAGAGAAGCGAAGAGCAAGTCAACAGTCAGTCAGTAGCAGCAAAAGTTATTTCAACGGCATTAGGAAGCAAAATGTGGCAGCAGCAGCAGCAGCACCAGCAACAATTCTCCAAGGAGCAGCAACATTAATTCTGAGACAAATGACCGCAAACACACAGACAGCCATATGTACAAATTCGCCAGTAAAATGTCAACAAACGATTTGTCATTTTCATAGTCTTGTTTACTGTAACTACTGGTGCATTTGTAATATCTGCAAAAAATAACAATTCCACAATTTCACAGATGCAGACGAATAGCTGCTTTTGTATGAAGGTTCATATCCTAATGTGTCTGAGGGCAATTGTTCGGCCATAAAGTATCGTGTGTATGTGTGTGTGTGTGTATGAGGAAGGAATCTCTACTTCAAGGCGCTACAGTTAAGAAAGAAAATAGGTTTTTGTCTCATTTGGCATAGTCATTGAGGTTCTTAGTTGCGGGTGGGTGTGACACAAATCTCTTCAGCAAGAAAAATGCAAAACAAAACAGCATATTCGACATGTGTCAGCAATAAATCGCTGGAGATAGACTTTGTATGCATACATAGATATATATGTACATATGTATGTATTTACAAGCATACTTGTAGGGAAAACCCCGAACTGGTGGACCAAATTTATAGTTCCCTACTAGATATTTATCGCCAAAAACGAACCAGACCGATAGTAACTACTACTAAAAAAAACACAAAAACCCATTAACTGGTTCGAAAAAGGGATGCAGAACGAACTAGATCTCATCTGGCAAATTTTGAATTAGTTCGGAACTACCGAAAAAGGGATACAGCGGGGAGCTTGTTTACTTTGTATGGATTTTTGTTTGGCGGGTTTACTAGAAGCGCACCAATTCAGAACTAGGGATTTTCCCCACAGGGAAGTATTATTTTAAGGACGACTGTCATTGTGTATGCCTCTTCGACTGCGGTTCTTCTAGGCCAGACTGATCGCACAAACATAGTTATTTTGCAGCAAACTACTGTTGCATTATATTATTTCATATGATCTTTACACTGGGCTGCGTTTCGAACTCACTTCCTTCATCGTTAAGCCGCACCCCAATGTATAACGTCAGACTGCCTCATGGTCAGCATCAAACATTTTTCTTGATTTGAGTAGTATGACAGGCATATTGAATGTGTACATATGTATGTATGTATGTGCATAAACTAAGTGGAGTATGAATACTTATATACAGTATTGGACATATCTATAGCACCGCCATTTCAAGTGATAATGTTTGCCTCTTATGTTCAGTTATTTTTTATTTTTTAATTTTGAATTAAAATACAGTGAATTCTCTAACAAAATTCATATAAACCAAAGTTTAAAACTTTTTGAAAGACTACAAAAAATGCAACAAATTTTCGCCCAAATTTCAAAATGTTTTCTCAGAAGCGCTAGAATTTTTTCGAGTACACAGTTTTATAGCCCATTGAATTCAAGTCTAATAACGTGCAAGTTTCAAGTGGCTAAAAATTACCGTTGATTTTTTAGATTTTTTTTTGTCGCAATCACTTCCATATAACGAATAAACCCAATTTATTTGTATATGGAAGAAACCCGCAACACCTTCGGCGAAAAAAAAATAAAAAAATCAATGGTAATTCTTAGCCGCTGGAAACTTGCAAATTGTTGCATTTTTTTGTGGTACATTTAAAAAATTTTAAACTTTGGTTTAAATGAGTTTTATTAGAGAATAAACTTTATTTTAATTCAAAATTACTAAAAATTAATAACTAAACTTGAGTGGCAAACAATATCTCTTTGAAATGGGAGTGATATTGTATTGGCCAGTACTGTATATCCGTCTATATATGTATGTATGTATTAGTATATGCGTTGAAAGACATATTAAAACCATATGTGTTCTGCAAACATCAGCTAAGGAAGACCGCCACCAATTGGGGCGATGGGTTTTTCATACATACTTCGTTGTTGCAAGGCATCATTAGTTTGTTTTCTTCCTTGTTCAATTGTTTCTATATCTTTGAGGGTTTTCTGCTTTTATTGGAATAGTTATTAAAAAGTTTACTCGTTTCCTTGGACGTTTTAAATGTTTGATGAAACTGAAATACATAGAAGAATACAATGTATGTAAAGTGTAGAATGCCAGTGTAAGAAGTATAGCAGTCTCATTAGCTTTTTTTTATACCTTTCATCATGGTCCGATGTTTTTTAGTGCCAGAATATGAAGAGATAGCCCCTGAAAATGTATACTTATGTTTATGATTAGAACGTCGAGCTGAGCCGAGTGAGTGTACTTTTAGAATGTATTAATCATCCGGAAAAATCGGACCGCAATAACATATAGCTCCCACACAACCGATTGTTCCGAAATGAGATTTTCCGTTATAATACCTCAATTTATGCAGCTAGGAACATGAAATTTCATACTATTTAAAATGACAAAGATCTGATCACGGTAATTTGCAGAAATAGGAAAACTGCGATAAATTAGTAACTATTTAAGCTAATTTACTCAAAATCGATATAAGTAATGACCTCTTAGCAAAAAATTAAATTTAGGGAAATTTTTGGAAAATGGACGTGGCGCCGCCCACTTACGCCTATTTATCAACTTCGGCGGAAAAAAGCTATACGTTGAAAATCGGACCAAAATTACCGCCACTCGCTATATAACGGTAAATTTCAGATATACGAATACTCTGATATTTCAATAACTAAAGACCCCAACTTACAATAATATCTCAACAAGACACAAGATTATTGATTTTTGTAAAATTGAGATGGCACCACCCACTTATGACTACATAAGTGTGTGTATTTTACACACACATATCAATATATTCGCGAAACCATGAGCTAAATATAGTAAAATTGCTTTTTTAGATTTTCACTCTGACGTCAGTAATTCAAAAATGATTTAAAAAATGCAGTTAAATATGCTTAGAGAAGAAGTATGGGTATCAAATTAAAGAAGAAATTCTGTAGAATTTAAGCAGATTAAATTGTTGGTGCATAAAGACTGATAAGTATTGAAAGTGTCCTTTTAAAATTTTTTTTTTTGAAATTTCGCAATATTTGTTTTTGAAAAAAATATATGTTAAGGACTTATATAAACTCGATAACATTCTCGAATTTCGTCCTTCTAACTTAATCAGCTTAAAAAATTACCTATTCGTCCTTGTGAATGCAAAAAAATATGTATTTTTTTTTAATTCTAAAGAAATTTTCCCTTTAGTTTGGTACCCACATTTATATTCTACTTTGCATTAAATTTTTTAATAATTTTGGAATTAATCATATTTTTAAAATTGCAAAATCCTTTAAAATCAAACCCGACGTCTGAGATAAGAAATAAAAACGCCACTTTAAATAAAAAGTAGGTCTCAAACCCATTTATTTATTATATTTATTTTATGGTAGGAGAGATAGAAGCATTTTTTTCAATTTAAGTTGTTGAAAAGTAATGAATATCTAAATCCGGGGACTAACCCCGAAATTATGATAACGACATCCCGAAAATCCCGAGATCCTAAAACGCGAAAAATTAACATCCCTAGTACGTACCTATGAGGAAGTTCAATATTTCTGTTTTTATTGTAATTACATAGTTAAAACTTACATTTGCGCATGTATGTTGCAAGTCATATTTTCCGAACAGCATTTCTATGGCAAATTGCTTTCGTATACGAAATGACATTTGGCAAAGGCCTTCACACGCATAAATGTCAAATTACATCAGAATTTGGCTTGCTCGCCCACTGCTGACATTGCATTCCTTTACATAGTTATTCAAAAAATATGGTTATGAATGCGAAAAAAAAAATNCAATTTAGCTTGCTCGCCCACTGCTGACATTGCATTCCTTTGCATAGTTATTCAAAAAATGTGGTTATGAATGCGAAAAAAAAATTGTGTTATTTATGTGTACTTAGACCAAATTTGTGTTTAAAGGGTAGATAAATTTTGAAAAAACGGCTTGAGAAAACGCTCCTTATTAGACGCTAAAGTTAGTCAGTGAGCAAATATTTAAAACATTTAAAAACTGATTTAGTTTCATAGTTAAAACTGACTTAAATTAGGATACCAAATATCATCAGAAAAGCTACTTAACCTCAACTAGTATTTTATTTACTATCTGTGTGTCCTCGAAAAGTCAAGCTTTAAAAGCGTTAACTAATACAATCCCGGCTTCCGCATCATATAAGTTCTGATCCAACTTCGCAACATTGCAACGTTGGTGTAGACACCCGGGAACTCTCTACGCCCACAACCCGTGCCGAACGATACGATTCCCACTTGTACACCATCTACCACCAGTGGACCACCAGAGTCACCGATACACGCATCTTTACCGCCAAAAGGCTCGCCAGCGCACAGCATTCGTGGTGTAATTCTAACTGGTTTGTACTTTCTTGAACAGTCCAATTGCCTAACAGTATGCACGGTGACTGCACGTAAACTCGTCTGTAGTTCACCATCTTCCTCGACTACGCCCCAGCCCGAAACCAGAGCTGCAGTTCCAATTCTTGGTCTATAACCAGCTAATGCGATGGGGCGATAAGCTGTAATGGCTGCGACGAGGTATAACAAACCGACATCGTAGTCTTTACTTAAGTCATTAAATTTCGGGTGTCTGCGGAAGCTTGATACCCGAATTATATTTTCTGTGCCGCCAATATGTGTAACTCCATACTGAATGCTGTACTTGTTTGCGTTGCTCTCCTTTTGGAAGCAATGCGCCGCAGTCAACACTACGCTTTCGCTAATTATACTGCCACCACATATATGCGCACCCGATAGTTGCACCGACACGATATAAGGGCTGACTTTGACATTCACCTGTATGCCATTAAAAATGCGGTCGCCAGCTGAATTGAATGAATAGACAGCGATCATAGTGAGCCAAAATAAAATCCAAGGCATCTCGCCACTGCCACTGTACTAGATATGTGAATGCGTTACGTACGAGTTTTATACCAACGGGAGTAGGGATGTTAATTTTTTGGCTTTTTACGGTCCCGAGATTTGCGGGATGTCGTTACCACAATCCCGGGATTTAGATATTCATTACTTTTCAACAAATCGAAAAAATTGCTTCTAAATTGTTTGAGAAGCTCTCCTGCCATAAAATAAATAATAAATAAATGGGTTTGAAACCTACTTTTTATTTAAAGTGCCGATTTTATTTTGTTTCTCTCTGACGTCAGGATTTATTTTAAAGGACTTTGTTATTTAAAAGATATGAATAATTCCAAAAATTATTTAAAAAATTCAATGCATTGATGAATATCAATATGGATACCAAATAAAAGGAGAGAAAGAAGAAAGAAAATTTCTTTAGAGTTAAAAAAAAAATTTAAATTTTTTGGATTCACAAGCACGAATAGGTATTTTTTTAAGCTGATAAATTTGGAAGGACGAAATTAGAGGATGTTATCGAGTTTCAAAAACAAATATTGTGAAATTTCAAGAAAAAAAATGTAAAAGGATATTTTCAATACTTCCTAGTCCATATGCACAAAATAAAAATTGAAACTGATTAAATTCTATAGAGTTTCTGCTTTAACTTGATACCCATACTTCTTCTCTAAGCACATTTCACTGAATTTTTTAAATCCTTTTGGAATCACTTACGTCAGGGTGGAAAACTAAAAACGCAATTTTGCAATATTTGGCCCATGGTTTCACGAATATGTTGATTTTTGTGTGTAAAATTTACTAACGCACTTTGTTATATGTATAATGAGCTAGACATTTATGAAAAAATAGTAATTATTAAATAAAAGAATAAATATAGCCAATACTGGTCAAGAAAAGAAGTTTCTATTATTGCAATCAGTGCAAATAACAAATCCCGAAATCCCGGGATTAACATTCATAAACGGGAGTGAGAAAACACCTCACACGTGCAGGTAAATAATTAAAAAAATTGTTAGAGAGAATGGAATGTAAAGTGTCATAACTAGATGATTAAGAGCAAGTAACTAAAATATAAATTGCCAAAGATGTAAAATATGTGCATATATATGTAATTTTCGCTCACCCGAATTGGATAGTTTATCAATTAGTTTTGCAACGCTTTTGCGCCCGAAGATACTAAAGCACCGAAGTGCTATGATTTTATTTTTAACTGCTAATACGCTGTTTACACGAGGAACGTTTTGTTGCGGCAACTTTTAACTTTAAGCGACGAGGATAGGAGAGGGGCGCAGCCATGATAAAATTTAAGGGGTGGAAAGGGTTAATATGCCCATAAAAAAATTAAAATTTTTTATTTAATCCTTTTTATGCTAGTAACAAAAGCTTCGGATTTTAAGCAAACTCTTCAATTATTTTCTTCCCAATCATGTCGCGGTTTTCATTAGTCCAGAGAGTCTTCCTTCTCCTTGTTGTAGTTCTTCTGGGTATGCAATTACAGTTGCACCACTACGCCCCAACTGTACCAACCCGTAACACGAGATAAGGACTACGCTTTACGAATATGCGCCAGAGAAATACCAGGATAACATCACCACAGCACAGGTAATGCTGCCATTAGACGGAGCAGAAATTTGGTTTGAGATTTTTAGTTGGGCGGAGGGAGGCCTTGACAGCTTGCACCCATGTCCACTTTTATCATCGAACGAAAAATATACATATTTGGTCCATCAGTCCGGAAATTTCAGTCTTCATGACAACAACTCCGACAAAGCAAAGGCGCTCATAGACTTAGCAATATCTTGGTTATTTCGTGGTTATTTAGTAGTACCATGCACCAGCATCGAAACATTCATTAAACCGTTTAGGCGCCCCCTGATTAAAGACAAAAAATCCCACTGGTAACGTTGTGATAGGCGCGACGCAACTTTGACCTCAAGAAGCTATAGTCACAAACCACGCCCGAGAACTTTCGCAATCGACTCTGCATCCTGCTTAAAAAGAAACTGCTCATCAGATGAATGAGCAGTGGGCATCGAACTTTTATTCTCTTCGCACCATTGCACAGTGTGCCAGAATAAATAATAAACTTATTTAAACTAAATACTTTGAAGTGTGCAAAAACAAAATATTTTGATATTTGACACATTTTGTAACGTTCGTAACAAACAAATTCAGAATCCATATAATCCTTTTTGTCTCTTTGACAAAAATAATCTAATCGCCGACGGCTTAAATTTCTTGCGTTAACTAAATAATTAACAAAACAAAAATTGATAAAAAGTAAAAAAAAAAATAAATAATCTAATTGGTCGTTGACTTAAATTACATTGGAACTAATGAAAGCTTTTTGTTGTTATAAAGTTGTTGAGTTTTTCTTCCGTTAAATAAATATTGAAAAAATAGTAAAAATAAAAGTAAGTAATTTAAAAAATGGAGGCTTATAAAATTTAGTCAAATTAAATGAATTTTTCAAAATACTTTGGCAGAAAACCCACCACTTAAAATTTTTCAATTAAAGTCATTTTTTTCAATTTCTTTAAATTATTTAAATTAAATAGTAAAAAAAAACATAGCCTTAGTTGATAGATTGGCAAGCCTACTCAAATATATGTTAGTGTTAAAGCTTGTTCAAACACCTTCCGTTTGATACTGATATTGTAATATTAAATAAGCAGACATTTTTTTTAACAAACGTAATTGTACCTTTTCAAAAAAGGTGGCAAATAATTATACATTTTCATATATATGTATATATGACAGGTTTTTAGTAGAATGGAAAAAAATAGAACAAATCCGTTGAATTTTTAATACCTTTAAAGATGTAAAAACTTCAAATAACTAAAATTTTTGAACATGTGGTACTTCCGATATACCACGGTTATACCTACGGTGACCAGATTTCTGTGGACAAATATTGAGAAATTCCTAAAGCATCGAATCCAAACATACAATTTTGTCTTTTAAATAATATTACAGTTTTGTTTAAAGCAAAAGAAAGTGATAAAAACTTGAAAAGTTATGGCAAAAATGTATGCACACAATATATTTTACATATCCAGCAAAGAGCATAAAGCATAACCAAAGGTCATAGAAAATAAGGATGCTATGTTTATGGCTCCCTTATATTTTATGTTCTTTACAGTAACGAGAGTCCTACCACGTTTGTCCGAAGAATGGTTATTGGGTCAGAGTACAAGGAGACTCCTATTTAATTAACTCTTTGAAAACCGAATTAAGTTGAGTGGGGCTAAAACTTTTTGGACGGCCTATTATTGTTCGCTAATCCTTAACTGTGAACGGGTATAAAATTTTAAAGTCTATGATTTTTGGTTTGACCGTTATGAAATGTTGCTTATAAATGTTAACAAAGTCTCCTTACAGAGCCTAAAAATATTTGTCAAGATTTTATGTTTTACTTCACTTTATTTATTATGTTTTATAAACTGACCCTATGTTTTGTGTGTATGTGTATTTTTTTTAATTTTGCAGAGCCATTTTGAGAAAAGCAACATATATGCTACATAAGTAGTCACAACGAAAACACTGAAAATCGGCATTTAATCAGTACAAATATTAAAAATCGGGACACTTTTACGTCAGCGGGGCATTTTTTTCAAAATCGGTACTGTTCCACCAAAATTGGTACGAACGGTCACCGTAACTATACCATAAAAAGATTTTATTCTGATTTTTTCATGTTTAAACAGTCAAGCAAGACTTTTGGCCACTTTTTTAATCTTCTGGCCCACTGTGAATTGCGGTTGGCTATTATCACCCAAACACGAACAGCTGATATGACGAAAGTGATGTCTTATCTCACTTTGTTTCAAGTAGACATCAAACTTATCAACTGGCATTTTATACATATTAATATTTCATGTGATTTATATTCCTTCTTCAGCTTAAATGGACTGCTTGTAGAAAATGCATAATCAGCATTTTCTCATCTTTTTTAACCGACTTCACAAATAGAAGGAAGGTTATCAGTTCGTCGGAATATCTTTTTTTTTCTTTTTATATTACCGCCGTGTTACCGCATAACTTCGGACCACGTTCACCGATTTCTATAATTTTTTGAAGGAAAGGCGTTACCTCACAGGTGGTCCCATTCTAATTTGGTTTAAATCCGATCATTGGATCAATAAAAAAATAAATATAATCTTATATATAATATAATCTTAAAGTTTTATATGAGAATTGAAGTCGGTTTTGTTTTTGCTTAAAAATTACTTGTGGCATGTTTGTTTATTTAATTGCTGACACATTTTTGGGATTTCCTAATCGGTGCGTGTGGTCCAACCCACTTAAGCTAAGCTGCTTAAATTTTCAAATTGAAAAGTCCACTTACAAAAACACATACATACATACATATATGTAAACATACGTGTTATATAAATATGTATATATACATAAGTATTTACTGGCAACAAAATTAAAAATATATTTAACTGACTTCTAACCGGCCATCCAAAGAGCTTTTATCAGCAATTTTATTGCTGCTATATTTATGTACATACGTCTGTTATATGTTTTATACTTATACATATATACTTTCCCATGTGGTTTGCCCCGCATCTCCAATTAGGCAATACACAACATAAGAAGACAACCTTTTACCCTTAATTTCGCGAATGTGTTCACTCGTGTGTGGGTCTATTGTTATATTTGATCTTATTTTTATTTTTAGATAAACAGTTAAGGGTTTGAAGCAGTCATACGAAATGATTTTTTTTTTTTTGCTATTATTCCTGCTTTTATTCACTTTTAGATAAGAGCACACATTGTTTGTAGTGCAATGAAATTTATAATAAAAATATTTTGTGAATAAAATATCCTTACAACTGTTAATACACAAATATGTATGCACATACTTACATACGCATATATTAGGGTGGTCCAAAAATGCATGTGAAAAAGTAAAGTCGGAATTTTAATGCTCTGACCCCCTACTATTGTTCTATACCGAAAAAACATACGCCTGTATTTTCATTTTGAAATCATAAAATATAGAGAATCGGAAAATTTTGTTTCTCTTCA